TGTCCAGACTTTTCAGGATTTTTAAAGGTTTTCTCTCTATTTCAGTTACAGTTATTTATAACTGTTTGAGAACAAAAACTTCGCTTCACAGGAAAGCCTTTCATTAGAAAAATTGTAATTCTATTGACGCATTATAAAACGAGTTGTTGGCTAAATTTTAAAACCTCGTAACTACGTTTTTGGACGACATCCCTTTTTTACTTTTCAAGCGCAACATCGGGTAATTAAATCTTAAAATATAATTTCTCGACCCTTTTTTAGTTATAAAATAAAGGTATAGTCATATATTGTTATTTAGCAATTCTATTTTTGTGCCTACTCGAAAGTTTACATTAATGGAGGTTACGAGGTTTACGAATATAACCAACGTAGTGTAACTACAAAATTCTTAAGCTAATTTCCTTAACACGTTCTTTATGTAAATTTCTGTCAATACTTGAAAATATAAGGATAGGCTATTATCGACGTAGGAAAATGTACTGTAACGTGCACAACATTTTAAAATTGTATTTAACATAAAATGTGCATTCTTAGATACTTAAGTTTATTGATCTCGCTGTCTTATGTTATATTTGAAGAATATATACAATGCTTTTTAAAATTTTTAACAAGGAGTGAGAAACACAGTATTATTATATATGTACCTCTTATCGGCCTTAAGATTATATCTGCGGGGTCCTAAATCTAATGCCATAATTGTTTGCCTAATTAGTTCATAGTCTAGCAAGTTAACAGTGATTACGCTCTAGAAAGGACTTATTAACCCCGAAACTTACACAACGGGCGCAATGCGGTGCGGTTCTCAAATAAAATCGTCTACTTGTTTACCATGTCAATTTACGTCATGGTTGCATATTATTAAAGGACTGCACATATGAAAACGCTTCGGCTCAAGACATTAGGATATAGGCGTGCGGCCCGCTTATTTATACAAGCGCTAGTTGTAGTAACATCGCTAAAACCCCACTATTGAATGTTACAATTTGAACAGAGACATTCTAAAGAGAGGACTTTTGAAACTGATGAATAGTAAAATCCCTGCTTGTCTGCTCTTGTCTTGTGTAGAAGAATGTGGTAGACATTAATTTTATTAGTATCTTTAATGGCTTGTTACGTCATTAGGGTAATTTTCAGGTAAGTTTTTTGTACTCAATTTAGGTGACAATTTATTTTTATTTAAATATTTATAGAATATCATCATGAAGTATTATTTAATATTCGAGTGCAGTAACCTGAAATATTCTTTAATTTTTCAAGATGATACGATATTCGAGTAATTAAATAATAAAAATTGTCACCAAAATTGAGTACAAAATCTTTACCTGAAAATTACTAATTAATCGATTTTGTCGTTTGACTTTCTAGGCGTAACTGTGAAACTATTATGAACGCGATGTTGGGTTACATTTAACCTGATAACGGTTTAACAAAGGCCTACAATATTTCTGAAAATATTACTTAGTAGAAATACATGTTTTACTGAGTTAATAAAAGTATATCATAAACAAGGCGTTCCTAAAGGAAATGGTGTTCATGTATATGTGCCAAACGATTTGGCTTTTTCTTCTCCTTCTCTCTCACTCTCTCTCTTCATACTGTAAAAGAAGCAGTTGTACTTTTCTGACGTCGTAATGTAACTCGTTATACTTTATTGTATCTTTGCCAAAGTTATCGTAATATACTTATTTTGCAATATCTATAGAAAGTATGTAATACGTAAAATGTGAATCTTTCGTTGATGTAAAAGCTTTGATTTCGTATACACTTTAAATTATTCTAAATAAAAAGTGTTATTTGTGTTAAATTGCCACTGTAATTACTTTATTTAATTGTAATGCTAACACTTCTATAGATCTATTGTTGTCTAAACGCATTTTATTTTTATTTTTATTGAAAATGTCGATTCGGACAAACACAAACTAAACTTAATTCTAGTCCAGTGCATCAGTCGTTATTAGTAAGAAAATCAATGTTTTTTTTATTCAAAGACCGAGTAAAATGACAGTTTAATACGCAAAAGGGTTACCAGTTTAGAAGCAGCTGGTAATTACAGTCGATAAATATTCTATCGACTATCTACTGACCATTGCTTACGGGTACGCTTCTATCGATAAAACTCTCGACAACAACAGGACTGTTTAAAATTTTACAAAATGTGATAACTCTGTAAACGGTATTTTACTCCGTTTTATAAAATAATATAGTATAGACCTATAAAATTTGTCGATGACCGTAGAATACGCCATAAACTAACCTACATTTGCAACATCTATGTACGTACGTAAACAATTTATTGTACACTCAAGAGCACATCAAGCTTGACACTTTGTACTTTGGACCGTTCTTATCGTAAGCGGCATAGAGTTGGATTTAAGTCTTAAGCGTAAAGCTTAACGTGCTCTTGACCCTGTACCACAAAACAAATTACAAATTTTAACGAACATTAAATGTTAGTGTACAAAAACGAGCTTATCTTGTAAAGGGATTCTTTCCAAGTAACCTTTGAATAGCTGAGAGGAAAGTTTTTTCCTGGGTTGGCAATAAAAAAAAATTAAAGGAAATGAAAGCTACATGATTAAATTTATACGCATCTACCAAAATGTATCTGTTGTAATCTATCTTCTTACTAAGATAACATTTGTATTAGTTTTTGTTGGCCCGAATCGTCTCCAATATACTAATTTTATAATATGTTCATCTTGGCTTAAGTATTGCACAACCTCAAAAATGTATTGATACTTGTATTGATGTGTACCTGTTTAATAATGTTAAATATATACTGACGTATAATAAAATATATAATACAATATAATGTATGTAAATAGCGTCAAGCCGGACTACTACTTATTCTGTAACTCTGTACCGTTGAAAAAGAAATCTATTTTAAATATCAATGTACGAAATTATATGTTAACTGTATGAAAATAAATATATAAAAAAACACGTATCTTTTAGTGAATATATAAACCAACTTATTTCCTACATTTTCTAGTTTTCTATTTTAACTAAAGTAAATAGAAGGTTTTGTATTATGTCGGCGAGGTGCAACTTTTCTTCTAAATACAAATTTGGTGTCCAGGTACTGTGTAGTGTGAAACCACGAATCCTTTATGATCTCTCTCATTCTTTTTCTTCTCATTTAATTACGTAGTTCTCCATCTCTTCTAACCGTCGTCAAACGACAACTTAACACCGGTTTATACGTAAATTTGTTCTTTGTTAGAATTAACAAGATACCGTTTGCACCAATGACTCAGAAAAACGGTAAAGATTTTTCCATAGTTACAAATTTTACTTTTTGGTTATGTACTCCATGGGTCAAAAGCACGTCAAGTTTGACACTTTACACTTAAATCCAACTCTATGCCGCTCACGATAAGAACGGTCCAAAGTACAAAGTGTCAAGCTCGATGTGCTCTTGACTGTACATTTTTGTGATAAAATTAAGGGATCTAAATTAAAAAGAAAACACACATGGCTGCTTTAATATGAGCACGCCTTTCTATTAGACATTTGCAGACTATTCGCGAAAGACGAAAAACATCACAATGCCATTTTAGACTCCGGCCCAATGTTTCAGATTAAACCTCTATTTCTACTGATTACCTGTCAAATTTTTAATAGTGTTGCTGTTTAAGCCACTGTTTGTACTAATTATCAGTCAAATTTCTGACGGAGTTGCTGTTTGAGCCACGGTTTCTACTATATTTATCAGTCAAATTTTTGAGTGTTGCTGTTTAAGCCACTGTTTCTGCAAATTATCGTACAAATTTCTGACAGAGCTGCTGCTTGAGCCACGGTTTCTACTAATTATCAGTCAGATTTTTGAGTGTTGCTGTTTAAGCCACTGTCCACCTGTCCACTCCACACTAGGAAAACCCTGTGTAGCGGGCGCCATGGACACACACATAAACAACCACAAATTACACCCAAACTCACGAGACAAATAAATGTAGACCATACAAATATTTCTCCCGACCCGGGAATCGAACCCGGAATCCCTGCGTGGTAGACCAACACGAACCAACGGTTACCAGTACGCAGGAAAGTTTTTTTACCAAGTGGCGAGACGAACACGTCGTGCGCCTGGTGGTAAGCGACACGCCTGTCCATAGCAATTGTAGTGTCACTCAGAGCTTTAAATCTCAAAGATCTGAAGGGTACTGCCACTGCGCCACAGAGACATAAGTTAACAAATCCCATGTGTCTGTAATTTCAGCATCATTCATTCTAATTGCACGGAACTATTGTATTGAAATATAAGTAAATAATTAACAGAAGCTTACTTCATGAAAATAAAATTTTTCGCCATTTCGATTTTATGCCGGTCAACCATCAGCGGCGGCAGTATGGAAAAATCATCGATGGCGGTGGCGGGGCGGCGCACATCTCTAATCAATATGTAGATTTTTATTTAAACTTACAGATTTCATCACTACAGTATATACAACTTGACAAAGGGTAAATAAAAGTACAAAGTAAATAACAACAATTTGTATTCAACAACAATAAAGTGTATTAAAACAATAATACTGATTGAAACGATCTTACGTATTGCTAAAGTGAACCAAGTAGTTGAAATGAAAGAACAAGATTTTTAGTCTTTAAATAAGTTAGATAAATACTGAAAAATGTTAAGGAGAAATAATGGAAAAGATATACCAGTAGTAATTGAAAAAAGCAGGTAATAAGAGAATGAAAGGAAGATATACCAAGGAAACGGAAATCATGATAGAGAATAGAAAAATGGACCAGATGAAAATATAAACCAAACACATAAGGATAGAAAGGTAAAAGGAGTAAAAGAAGGAATGTTGATAGTACAGGAAATAGAAAGATGAAATGAAGAAGCAGATGATAAGAAAAGAATGAAAGAAAGATAAATGTGAGTTTGAGAAAGTACGAGGATAATGATGCAGAAGACAAATAGCAAGAAATAAGTATACAGTAAAAGTTATAGGAAAGTATCAAGGAGAAAGAAGCAGAAGAGGAGTATGCAAGGAGTAAAGACAAATTAAGGGTTAAAGAAATGTAGAAAGATAAAGAGCCATAGATATGGAATGGACATAGACAGAGTATAAAATAAGATATAGCTCGGAGAAATATAATCGTAATTACAGGTATTTTGCCTATATAATAGTAAAGTACGTACAATAACATTGTTTTACGGCGGAATCAATACTGGACGAGGTAGGGTAAAACTTAGAGCACACTCGCGTTAGAACATGGTCGCAGTGAGTGTGGGGCTGTACCATATCCTCGCCACACTCCTTATTTCCGAACAATGACAACACAAAGTGTTTTCCTTTTCAGTTCCAATCAAGAACTGAATTGCTAAACTGTAGGTACCCCATACCTCATTGCAAAAAAGGCAAATATATAAATGTTTCAATGTTTTATACATTTTTGCAGAACATTCGCTTTCAATGCACGAAGAGAAAACAGTGAAGGTTTATAAGAATACTTAGATAGAAAACGAAGAAAGAAATAGAAAATATTGGAAGTAATGAAAACCCAGTTGTGACAGAATTGAGAAGTAAAATATGGCAAACCAAAGTAAAAATTTAGAAATAAATATAAAATAGACATGAAAGAAAGAAAGTAAAAAGAAAATAACAAATAGTGTAAAGATGAAAAATGGTATTTTTTACCATTTCCTTTTGGATGCTAGTAAAAACAAGCGTAGTGACTATTGTAAAAGAAGAAAATAGGCATTTCTTTACGTCGTAAAAAGAATAGAAGGAAGTAAGGAAATATGAAAAGTAAAAGATGGCAAACCATTAAGAACAAAGTAATATTCGAGAAATAAATATAAAAAGTGGAAAGAAAGTATAACGAATAGTGTGAAAGATGAGAAATGGTATTTTTGCCATTCCCTTTTGGAAGCTAGTAAAAACAAGCGCAGTGACTATTGCAAAAGAAGAAAAAAGGCATTTCTAGAAGTCGAAAAAGTTTAGATGGAAATATGAAAAGAAACGAAAATTCTAGAAATAAATATAAAATAGATATGAAAGGTGGAAAGAAAGTATAAACAATTGCGTAAAAGATGAAAAATGGTAATTGTACAATTTCCTTTTGGAAGCTAGTAAAAACAAGCGTAGTGACTATTGCAAAAGAAGAAAAAAGGCATTTGTAGTACGTCGAAAAAAAGAATAGAAGGAAATAAGGTAATTTGTAGAAGTCATATGTTACTTAAATAATATGGTACAGTTAAAAATACAGGCGGCGTAAAGTACTTAGATGATACAAAAAAGAAAAGAAAAACGTGGTATAAAAAGATATGTCAACATAAATGAGAATTATTTAAAAGCAACATATTTATAATACAGTTATAGAAAAAAGATGCTCACAGGTAGAAAAAGAACTATAAAGGTGGTCGAGATAGAAGAATATAGTATAGCGAGAAATTTATAAGAAAATATGAAATAATTTATAAATGCTGAATTGAATGAGAAGAAAATAAATTAAAATATTGAAATGTTCATAAATATAATACTAAAGCTAAGTTAGACGACGTGTGATGAAAAAACGCAGAAGTGAGGAATAGAAATGACATCAAAGCAAAATAGATGAAAACTAGTCTGAAGTAGAGTAAAAAGATAAAAAGGTGGTAATAGACAGGTTGCGATGTTTGTGTGACGTAATAATGCTAAAGAAGGAAGGAAGGCAAGAAAAATAGATGACGGTTTTTATTTTTTGTACGGTATACAGAATGAAATAGATAGAAAGGAAAAATAGTAACACAGAACAAATCAAGTCAGACGACAGTAAATGAAAATAGGTAAAAAATAAATATAAGAAACATATATAGCAATAAAATTAAATTATTGAAATGTAAAAATATGTAATTCAGTATAAAAATATTATACAAAAATTATCATATGAAAGGTACAAATACAGTAAGAGAAGGAAAAAATTACGAAAATGAGAAAAATAAAAAGGATTGAATGATAAAAATATTTCAAAGTAAAATCATACATAATTCTGTAATATATAAAAAGTATGTATATGAAAAGAGGATCTAAAGATGGAGAAATAAATACTGAGTGAGATCTATTGGAAATAAAGAAGAAAGCGTAATAGGAGAAGTTTAAAAATGAAGCGAAGAATTAAGAAAAGGAAAATATAGAAAAAGAAAGAGGTAAAGTCAGATGAAGAAAAAGGCAGAGCTAGCTAGTAATAGTATTGAATAAAACTGGGAAAGAAGGAAAGATAAGATTTTTTTTAGAAATTAATAGAAATTGAAGGAAAATTATGAAGGGAATAATGAAGTTGAATAACGAATAAAAATAAACGGAAAAAAGTGAATATTAGAATTTATAGAAGGACTTTTATAGACAGAAAAGACTGAGAGATAGTAGAAAGTAGAAAGCAATGAACGAGCCTTTAAAGAGATAAAGAAATCAGAGCGAAAGATAACAGATAAAGAGATGGTACGAAAATAAGTAGAAGAAGAAAAGGAGCAGAAAGAATGACAGAAAAGATATTTAATGTGACATCTTAGAGGAAAAATGTATGACATAAATAATGAAAAGCAATTTTAATGTTGAAGATGGGAGAAGGAAAGAAACATTAACAGTATAGGAAGAAAAATACTTTAAAGTGGAAGGTAAGAGATGAAAAAGTATTATAGTAATATGGAAGAAAAATTATTTATAAGTGAAAGATGGAAGAAGGAAAGAAACATAAATAATATATAAAGTAAAATTGAAAGTGGAAGGTAGAAAAAGGAAAGAAGCATGAGTGTTGGATTGCATACGTTTGGTACCAAGTGCAAGCGTTGCAAGAAAAAGTAGAAAAGCTAAATGAAATGTGAAAAGTATAGACATAGATAAGATAAGTGATAAACAAAACGACTACATAAGTATTTAGGCAATCTATTTACTTATTTTAAGTGGTGTGATATTGTGTCGATATTGACAGATGATAGCCGTGAAATGAAAATGTAAAACGATGGTTATTCAGTACATTATAAATGTTTGTAATATAGCAATCAAATAGAGAAACAGAAATGAAGCGTTAATGACATGAAATAAAACGAAGACAACAGTAAAGAAATATATTAAGGAGATAAAGAAACAGTGATAGAAATGAAGTGATAGTTACAAATTTGATAGACAAAATGTAAATGAAGAAACAGAAATGAAGAGGAAATGATATGAAATGAAACGAAGATAACAGTAAAGAAATATAATAAGAAGATAAAGAAACAGTGATAGAAATGAAGTGATAGTTACAAATGTGACAGATAAAATGTAAATGAAGAAACAGAAATGAAGCGGAAATGGCATGAAATGAAGCGAAGATAGCAGTAAAAATATATTAAGAAGATAAAGAAATAGTGATAGAATAGAAGTGATAGTTACAAATGTGATAGATAAAATGAGCAAGAATGAGTGCAGATAAAAGTGTAGAATAAGCGAAGATAAAGCATGCTAAAGGTTCATGAAAAACTAGTATTTATGAACATAAATAAGAAAATATTAAGCAGAAGATGCCTTAAAAATAAAGTTTCATAAAAATAGTAAAGATTAGAAAAGTATAGAAAAAATACAACATAAGCTGATAGTACTAAAGCTAGAACGTTAAAAGATAGCAAAAGGTTAAAGTTGAAAAGAAAATTAACTACATCGGTTCGTATCACAGTTCTTTGATCAAGCAACAACTTACAATGTAAAATATAGGAACATTAGAACAACCTAAAATATCAAAATGAAAATTATCAAAGTGCATAAAAAAGCGGAATGAACCGTCTAAAACAAATGTGCGGTTATTCTGCATTAAAAGAGAAATGCGATTTACGCGTATAATACTGTCTTTGGTAACATTTTCGAAGTGCTAAATAAAATTGGCAAGGTGTCATTTTATGCTTTAAAACAACGAAATTCATTCGATCATTGTCTCCTTCAAACTTCAAACTTCATTTTTTGTGTATACCGACTTAAAAGTAACTTCAACCTCAAAATGACGGCGGTAATATTGATTTTTGAAGATCAATTTTCGTGTTAAAAGAACGCGCAAATCTTTAAAAAATCACAACTTGGCGAGAAAATTTGAAGTTCGAAATTTTGACAATGAAATTCAATGTTCATTGGTAACTTTACTTTCTATAACTTATATCGTCGTGATGATTTATAGGATAGTCAGCATACCATCCAAAAGCACCGTTATCACCAGTATGAGCGCCAAAGTCTACGTATTCTCCGAAGTCCGGGGGCCGTTCCGACAAGCGTGCTGATGGTGTCAGTGAATGTGCTCCTATAGTATCCTGGGGCTGTTGTTGTAGAGTTAAGACTTTGGTGGGATTTTGAGGTTCTAGAAGCGGTGCTAGTCCTACAGCTGTAAAGAAATAACGTAATTATTGTTATATCGGTCCACAGTGGTCACGTAGATAGGTAGATAAACACTATATTCACTGATATAACACAAATATAGATTAAGCATAAAAGAAAAAACATAACATGAATGATGAACAAATCTCTTGTATATACATATTTTATAGTCTTTTAAGTTTTAGTTTTATATCTAAATTCTAAATTTAAATGTAATTGGTTTTGGCGCCTTTTCCTTACTATTAACTGACTTCACAAAAGGAGGAGGTTCTCAATTCGACTGTATGTTCTTTTTTCTTTCTTTTTTTTTGTATGTATGTTACGCGATAACTCTGGTATTTGTGAACCGTTTTTCGTGATTCTTTTTTGTTGGAAAGGGGGTACTTCCATAGTGGTCTCATTTCATTTTGAAGAAAATCATCCACCTCTAAGGGTGGCTGTTCACGCATGAAGATTCATTTTTATAAATTGCTCTTAAACTTTAATTTAGGAGCAATTATTTTAATGGTTGATTTTGCTATTTCTCCAATTCAAGGCGTTTTTCTCAATATACTTTCAGTAGTGAGAACCGATTTTTATTATCTCCAGTGTCAAGTCCTGTATAATAAGTGGCGAAGTAGGGGATATTTCAATAAAACTTAGCAAATAGATGTAATTCTCGTACTGAGATTATTGTTTCTGTTTTTGGATTGAAAGCTGTACGTGTTATGTAATAAATTAATAAACTGTAAATAGATTTACTTTGGTCTTGCTCACTCTTTGTCAGCACCCACCCGAACCCATTGATACAGTCCGCTACTTTTGTATATTCATTCATATGTTTGCAAATTATAGGAATTAGAACAAGAGATATTCAGTATTGATTTGTGGTGCATTGGAAAGTGGAGTTTTAATTAATTACTCAACAATCACGTTATGCGAGTCCTGCGTTTGAAATCTTTCTTAATTAAAATTGCAAATTGGTAGAAGTGCTTTAATGCAAATAATAGTCCGATTCCGAGCGATTATTACAGTCGACAACTTGTTTATAATTACGTAATAACACCTACAAATCTTACCAATGCTTCGCAAACAGTCTTTTGTTTAAATAAAATCATGAAACGCTGTTCTAAAAACAACTTTGCTTTCGTGAATAATATACAATTACTGAGTAATAACCATTTTCGGCTTAAAATTATGTTGCCTCGCAAATTCCTGTCAACTTGCAGCATGTTTCGTGAATTCGATTGCAACCGTTTTACATAAACGGGTCGTTAGAATGAGAGCGGCTATCATAGTTGCGCAAGCGCCACAGCGATACAGATCTACTGCAGACAATGGTAGAAAGCTATTTGAAATGCTGTCTCAACTGGATCGTTAATCTATGAATTTGAAACCGAGTAAAGTGTGATTATTGAGTGGAATATGTTACATAAAGTAAAAAGTGTATGTGTTAAGTATGAAAAAACCTTTAGGCGCTTTTTAGGGACAAAGGCTTCTAAAGGATCGTTTTAATTTCCCCAGTTTAAAATCAGATAAATAACTAAATATTAGACAACATCATATAATTATGTCGGTCTGATCCCAAAGTAACTAAAGCACTTGTGTTATGGAAATCGGAAACAACGACAGTACCACAAACACCCAGACCCGAGACGATATACAAAAGTTCGTATTTCTAGACTGACCCGAGCGGGGATCGAACCCGGGACGTCAGAGATAGCGACACCATGAAAACCGATGTGCAAACCACTCGGTTACAGAGGTCGCCATAATCAGTTTGTTTTTGTCGCAGACGTTTGATAGCACATTTTTTATGTATCTCTAGAATAATTTGCAACGTTTTGTACACTGTGGGCCCTGGATGAAAAGATCCCGGGTTCGATTCCACGTAGATTAGAATGAACTTTTCTAAATTGTATTTTTTTCTAGATATTCTGGGTATGAGTGAATTTAGTTGCTCAGGCATTCATAGTGTTTTTTTTTTATAATATCAAGTGACGGGACGAACAAGCCGTGCGCATGATGGTAAGCTACACGGTTGTCCATAACAGTTGCAGTGCCACTCAGAGCTTTAAATCGCAAAGATGTAAGGGGCACTGCCACTGCGCCCGCCACCCAGTGACATAAGTTAATAAATCACGTGCCTGTAATTTCACCAACACCCTTACCCTTCTAAACCGGAACGCAGTATTGCTAACATTACAGGTTGGCGGCAGAAATAGGTAAGGTGGCAATACTTCCCAGGTCGAATTCTTTCAATATAGTATTAATAGTATATTCAACAATCTCTACATTTGTAATAATATTATTAGCAATACATTGATTCATATCTCAGTCTGCAGTAATTCTTAAGTAAGTACCGGCATTGTAATACAGATCTCGTATGCAACGTAGTACCTGCACTCCAATAGCTGCACTTTCATTACAAATTACTTGCACTGCCAAACTTTTCAAATGCATTGATAAGTTTGCTGGTGAAGAAAGCGATAATCCTTTGTGATACAGTGAAAGTAATGAGTGACTGATGGTCGACTTGACATACGGATTCATTTTGCTTTCTTTGACATTCAATGCTTTTGAAGTGTGCTCTTCGGTCGAGACCTCATCCATTATCTTTGTGAACAATGTCACGCAAATTCTCTATTGTATGCGAGATCTTATATAGACTTTCGATATCGTCCAATTTATCATTACAATAAAGATTCTTCGGTCATTTAGGGCAGCCTTTATTTGGAAGTATGGAGGTAACGAAGATTTCTTCCATTCATCACTTTCAAGTGATTAATTCAGATCAAAAGAAGATAGATATCTTTTATGTGATGATTTGGGATATCAAGAGACATTTCCCGCTTTCGAAACTAATTTAGAAAATGGTTCTTATCAAATTCTTAATCGTGTATATATTTGTTAGATCCTTGGTCAGTCAGATAGTTCTTTGTTTGAAAAAACAAATATACGCGACTTAGATTTAAAAAAATAGTTTGATTTCTAAATGTGTTCTTCCGGGAACCCCCGAAGTCAGTACTTTATACTCTGTTACTCCAGGACTCTATCTACCTACTATAAAAACCTACTGAGTTTGCGGTCAGCTAGTGTAATGAAGTATTGATATTAAATGGAAGTTTGTCTACAAACAATATAACTAAGGACTGAAAAACGGTTTGGTCCACCCAAAGAGAGCAAAACACATTACAGAAAAGGAAACCAAAGACACTTACGTTGATGATGGTACTGCTGTAGCTGTACTGGCTGGTATTCCTGGTCATAAAGGGCGACGGGGAGCGGAGGGGGCGGCGAGAGGGTCTGGCGAGGCACCCTCACGTGGCGCGAATGGATGTTGGAGAGGTCGATGAAGGCAATTTGGTCGGCTGGAACCGCGATGAAAGACGGTCTTGCCGCCGCCAAGGCTGTCAGGGTTGCGAGAATTAGCAGAAGCTGTGGAAGATAGAAGTACGTTAAATCTACGAAAAGGATATTAATTATTAAAAAAAAACACATTGTTTAAAGGACGTTTAGAATAAGCTTAAAAATTGTTCGACATATTTTTTACATTTTTTTTAATGTTTTGTTTTAATAGGTAAATAAATTACATTTCAAATCGTCAAATTGATTAACCACTACCACTCATTCTTAGGTTAGATTCCCCTGAGAAGAATGAGTAAGAAACAAGAGATTGTGACCTTTTTGTATTCTATTCATTCCTTCTTTTTGTTTATATTATTCACGTTTATAATTTAGGTGCAAAATTTTTTCATACATCTTACATAAAAATTGGTTATTGCCCTCCAAGTACGTAGAAGCTGTATTATAATATTATAAAATTGTTTTTTTTCTCGATAATGTTAAATCTCTTAAATGGCAAATGTTGAATATCAAGAGGAATCTTATTATAGAAGCGCGTACATTGCCTCATAAATGTCATAAGTACTTTGCTAACACGACCAATTAATTATCCTTAGTTTAAGACCTGGGAACTGGTGTTATCTGGCAGACAAAAACAGGTCAATATTTCAGTTAAAAAACAACTATCAAATTATAAATTAACTTCATTTTCAGAACTGCAATTGGACATAGTTAAACAAAAAGGATTCAATGCACATCCAGTCACTTTCGAGATATGGCAGTTTGAAGTTTAAAAGTGTTTCTCATTCTTGTTTTATTTTCAAAACTTATAATATCATGTAACTCCAAAGATATTTATTTATATTTGTATGTTGGATTTTTTTGCAGATCTAAGAGGTTGACTTTACTGTTTGGTACATATACCTAATTTTTTGATAATTTTGTGGATTGGATCCTTTTTACTTAACTATGTCCAATTTAGGTAAAGCAAGAACTACCGAACTTTGAAAATCAGCTGCTTTTCTTGTTTGTCGTATATTCACCACTATTTTTCATATAAAATGAAATACGACCTATTTATTATCATGCTTATAATATACAAGCTGCAATATAATTTAATTTATTTTTGCAACACCCTCAATTTATAAAATAAATGTAAATTTAAAAAAAACATTGTTTAATGTTAGATCATAAATTCTAAACCCACATCGCATTACCAAGACACTAAATGACCGTGTCTAAATAACTAAATCGCTAATGATAGTGTTTACGTGCCACAGCAATATCTCATGGCAAGTTACGCTGTCTCAGTTGGTACCTAATGCTTGTAAATAGAGAGTAATACGTAAGTAGCGCGGTTGCGCAAGAGTCGGTAAAGAGACAGCGTACGGTTAAGTGTTGTGCGGAAATGTGGTAGTTTGTCGATACAAAATGTTATCTTTAAAAACAGCTTTGAATTAAATTATTATAATTTTACGTGCACACACACATACATGCCGTCGTCATGTGTGAGTGAATAAATACCTCCGAATGTGATTTCTATGTAATTTTTCAGGAAGAATATAAAAATGTGGTGTAAAATGTAGTAAACGCAATAATATTATTATTCATATGTAGTTAGCTTTTTAATTAGTAAAATTATACCTCTGTCAGATACTGTACTACTTTAGTAATATATTTGACCAA